CGTGGTGCCCAGCAACAGGACAAGAGGCAACGGGCAGAAGCTGAACCACAGGAAGTTCCATCTGAACCTGAGAAAAAAACTTCTTCACTGTGAGGGTGACAGAGCATTGAACCAGGCTGCCCAGAGAGGTAGTGGAGTCTCCTTCGCTGGAGATATTCAAAACCCGTCTGGATGTGATCCTGGGCAATATGCTCTAGAGGCCCCTGCCTGAGCATGGAGGTTGGACTAGATGATCTCCAGAGGTCCCATCCAACCTAAACGATTCTGTGATTCTGTGATTCTGTGATACCTTTGACAAAGAGGGTTGACGGCTGGTGGTGAGGATAGGGAGTGCTGAAGCCAGTTTTCAGTGAAATCTTGTCTTAGATGAAGGTAGTGTTTAACAGCTTGAAACACAGGTGGTGTCAACAGAAGTCCTCAAACTTCTCTTGTTGTAGGTTGCTCTTGTTATAGGCCTGACAAAGCTGCTTAACTGGCAGGTCTTTCAATAAAACACCCTGTTGTTGCATCCAAGTCGGTCTGCTCTCTAGTCTTTGCTTTGAGGGCTATGGTTGCCAATGTAATTCTTCTTTGGAAGAAAACCTAGTGGGTGTAAGTTTTACTGCACTGCTGAGATCAATCTCTCTCTTTTCTTGATGTACTGACTGCACATCCTTATGAGTTTGGGGAACGAAAGAGGAATTGCTCAGCCCTGGCGGCATAGAGAGCCTAGAGTCCTACCAGACTGATGAAGAAACTGACAGCAGAGGAAGCAATAGCAACAGTGTTGGTAGGTTTAAAGACATTGCCAAGTCATTCAGCACCATGAAAGGTGTTGATAAAGTTCTGAAGGGTAGTGGAAATGAAGAAGGAGTGTTAGGGAGCCTAGCCCTTCTCAACAGGAGGAGATGACATGTGTGTTTGCAGTGCTTGTCTTGGGCTCATGTTGGTGCTGAAGTAGCATGGAGGAATGGCCAGGTAGGAGTCCTGACCATGTGCCTCTTGAGGTCTACAGGTAGAGCAGAAGTTGTACAAGGGTACATCAAAAAGTAGATGAAGTCAGGAGTGGCAATGCCTAAGGGAGTCTCGAATGTGGCTGTACCAATGACAAAAAGTTTGCTATCATATGTCACAAACTCTGTAAGATATGAAAGTTCAGACCAACTCACTAAGAAGCTGAGAAGTGAAAGGAAAGCAAGTAGCATCTGCTTCACTATTACATATATGCACATGAAGAAGAGTCTAGTGTGTGACACTACAGACATTTGTTAAGGTTAAAAAAAAAATTCCAGCCAATACTGATGATGCCTCATATACATACAGGTAGCACTCAAGGAGAAAGTGATTCTGCGCATGCCTAGTAGTACTAAGCTCTTAAAGAAATCAGCAGCTTAGGTGTAAGTTATTGCAATAGTAAGTGTTTATATAGCTGCAGTTCAGCAGACACAGTGTTAGGGTGTAGGGCATAGGGCTTGGTCAGGGTTCCTTCCAGAGGAGGAAAGCAGCCTCATGCATAAACTGGTGGCTGGGGGATGGTGTTACCATTGGTGTTCCCAAGCCCCATTCAACGTGTTATGACTGTGTGGTGTGGTTGACAGGCTCATAATCATAGAGTTCAAGGTACTCCCTTCAGATGCCCTGGCTACATCTCCACTAACAGCCTGAGCAGCAAAAGGTGTAGACTTGAGCAATGTGCCACGCTGATCCATACTGCTTAACTGGCAAGCCTAGCACTGCCCTGCACTGTGCATCAGCTAGGGTGGGTTAAGGGCTGGTCCCAGAGAGTTAGGCTGCATGGCTTGAAGCTGTGTCATGCCACTACTTTTGGTTCAGTGAATGGGCCCTGACCTGTGTTATTTACTAGGAGAATAATACTCCCATATGACTGCTGGTTCTGCTTGAATAGATAGCTGAGAGATAGGAACTGTAGTGATTCCCTCTTCATTTCAGGTTTCTTTCCTACAACTCATCACCGGGACAGCAAAGAGCTTGGAAAAGAGATTTGCATGGGCCTTCTGGAGCCTCGATATGCATGTGCTTTACACTGAGTCTGCTTTAGTTCTTCCTGGCAGTTAGGGGATGAGAGGGGCATGAAATGGGTACCAGGGAAAAAGCACATGGTGCCAAGAGACCTAACCTAGAGGCTGCTTTTGAGAGTGAGTTACTAAGGGGGGGCCATAGCGTGAGTGGAGGAAAGGGTGGGGAGGGACAATGCAAGAGAGGAGCTGAGGCAATCTTTTCAGGTCTATTTGGAAGAAATAGCTCCTGTTTTTTGCTATTGATGAGGAGAGCTGGCCCTCACTTTCTGACTTTTCTCCAGACCTCAGGCTGGGGTCCTGCTGACTTCCAGTTGGAGCAGACTCCTGCCAGCAGGCACTACTCTCTTTCCTGCTTGATAACTCTGTAGAAGTAATGTGGCTGAACAACCATGAGTACTGGATTTATATGGATATATATATATGGATATATGGATATATGGATATATGGATATATGTACAGGCCTAGACTGAAAGACCACTTTTAATTGTTCTGCTACCTTTTCCAGTAATATAACAGCTTAAACTTGCACAGATATGACACTAGGACTGGCTTTGCCACAGGGCTTGGTCATTGCAGCATCCTGACAAGACTGACTCTCCTCAAAGCATTAACAGTGCTTAACAGTACTGATGTTTTTTATCTGTCCTTAGTCTTTTGGCACAAAAGATGTCTTTTTCTGAGTATCCAGTTTTGAACGTAAGGGACTGTTCTCTGCTTTGTGTGCCTAGTCCGACACTAGCCTGGCATTGTGGTAGCCTTAGGCACACAGATCCCTTATGCTAAGCCTTTAACAAGTGAAAAATCACTCCAAGCACTTAACTTTGCAGGTAGGTACTTAAGTTGATATGTTAGCTAGCCATGTCCTTGTTTGTGCAAAAGCGAAGAAATTCAGAGAAGGACTTACAGCTAATGAGGTCAAGCTGTGGAGTTGCTTAGGCATGATATCACCATAGAGGGATCCATAAACTGAGCTATCTGTTTGGCAATTTTTCGTCTCAGTAAATCCCTTTGTGAACTAATTATATGACCACAGCTTATATAGTTTGCAAGGAAACAATCTCCAGATTTCTTTTTTTGTTAGTTATAGATCTTGGCACTTCGTTGTAGATGTTGCAAAATTAATCACAGGGGTTAGAGACTCTATAAACTGTTCTACATTGTAATATAATAATGTAATGAATTTCCAACCCCTGTTTCCTTTTTTAAATATAAGTTTTAATTTTAGGGCTTTCATTTTTAGTGTTTGCAAGTGCCAGAAAAAAAAACACTAAACAAAACCAGTCCACTATTAATCCACTGAAAAATGTGAGCATATACTCAAGCTAAGAATCTCCAGATAAAATATTTATGTGTACTAGATGTCTTGTATCAGGAGGTTGTTCTCCTGATGGTATCGGAAGTCAGCCCTTCACTCCATGTATCTAGTCCAACAGCTTCATCCCTGGCAGGATGAGGGCTTTCTTCAAACACTGCTTTCTTGTCAATAGGGTTGATGCACTGTATTAGAACAAGCATTTGCCACAGCAGTTGTTCACAAGCGGGGGTTTTAGCTCTACAAGCCTAGCCTGTGAGAGTTGCTATCAACATAATCATTAGTGACCTGTGGCTCTTCCAAATTGAGTCTAACTGGTCTTTCCGCAGGGTAAAATGAAGCTCTCTTTCTTTTATCTTTCCTCTTACAGGGAACGCAGCATCCTCCTCAACAGTGGTAGGAGCTAGATAAGCCTCATAGCTGTTGTATCATACTCCAGGTACAGCATTAGCTTGTAGTCCAAGTCTTCGCTTAGGACTAACTGGTAGGAACTTAGACAATTAATTGTGTATTATCTTCCTTGTGGTTATATTTTAGCTGTACAGTTATATACATCATACATCCAACCTGGATGAAGTCACAGAGCGGACCCTCAGCAAGTTTGCTGATGATACTAAACTGGGAGGAGTGGCTGATGCACCAGAAGGCTGTGCTGCCTTTCAGAGGGACCTGGAGAGGCTGGAGAGCTGGGCGGAGAGGAACCTCCTGAAGTTCAACATGGGCAAGTGCAAGGTCCTGCACCTAGGCAGGAATAATCCCATGCACCAGTACAGGCTGGGGACTGACCTGCTGGAAAGTAGCTCTGCAGAGAAGGACCTGGGAGTGCTGGTGGACAACAAGTTAAACATGAGCCAGCAGTGTGCCCTTGTGGCCAAGAAGGCCAACAGTATCCTGGAGTGCATGAGGCAGAGTGTTGCCAGCAGGTGGAGGGAGGTGATCCTGCCCCTCTACTCAGCCCTGGGGAGGCCTCACCTGGACTACTGTGTCCAGTTCTGGGCTCCCCAGTACAAGAGAGACATGGCACTCCTGGAGAGAGTCCACCCGAGGGCTACAAAGATGATTAGAGGGCTGGAGCACCTCTCCTAGGAAGAAAGACTGCAAGAGCTGGGCCTGTTCAGCCTGGAGAAGAGAAGATTGAGAGGGGATCTCATCAACGTGTACAAGTATCTGAAGGGGGAGTGTCAAGAGGATGAGGCCAGCCTCTTCTCCGTGGTGCCCAGCAACAGGACAAGAGGCAACGGGCAGAAACTGAACCACAGGAAGTTCCATCTGAACCTGAGAAAAAACTTCTTCACTGTGAGGGTGACAGAGCATTGGAACAGGTTGCCCAGAGAGGTTGTGGAATCTCCTTCCCTGGAGATATCCAAAAGCTGTCTGGACACAACCCAGGGCAACCTGTTGTAGGTGACCCTACATGAGCAGGGTTGGACTAGATGATCTCCAGAGGTCCCTTCCAACCTCAACCATTCTGTGATTCTGTAATACTGTGTCTCCCTTAGCTGGGACTGGTCTTATGTAATTGGACTTGTCAAAGTTACTTCCTTGGAGACCCCCTGATATCAATAACTCTCATGTCTGTAAGGAAATAAAGGAAGTCAGTCTTGCTTTACGATGTGAAAGAAACGAGGCATCTGAAGATTTGGAAAAATCTTGTGACATAATCTGGAGATCTGTATATACTATCTTTCTACATTAAGGGACTCTGCAACAGGTAGGTGCATAATAATATAATTAATAAAAAAATCACAAAACCAATAACATCATTAAAATATTCTGGCAGAAGCCTGACATGGTTTTTCTTTTTAAAAAATAGATTAAATAGAGGGTAAAAGCCAAAAGCAGTGTTTCAGATATACACCACAAAATCTCTATATAGCTGGTCTATTTAACCATACCAGCCTGTTAATACATTCTCCTTGTCCCTTGTCTTTGTGGAAATTCTATTTTTTTAACTTAATGAGGATGGTGCTTTTTCATTTATTATTATTTTCAGTTTCACTTGTGTGGGTACTCCTATCTATGAATGTAATATAGTCATCTTTCTTTTTTAATATATATCCTATGGTCCACTTTGTCATACACAGGTTTGCCTTGGCACAAAAATTTCTAGTTTGTGACTCAAATTATAGTTTACATAAATCAGAGAGACTTTATGTGACCAATAGTATTAATTAAGATCATGTTTATACTCAGTTTAGGTTTAACTACATGGATGCATTTTTTTACACACTCAATATGCTCCATGAAATGTGAAATTGGAGGTGATATTTATACTTTAATGGAATGGTGGTTGGGACATATGACAACCAAACTATTTCTTATGCCAATATTAGCATACCAATGCTCTAATCTCCTCTCCCATCTCCCATCAAGCCCCAGAACAATCAGGTTAGGGTATCCAATTCAAAAGCTAATTGATTTAAATAGACATCTGCAAAAAATGTAGATCCTATTATAATAAGGTTCTAAAGTATTGTTTTTATTTCACTTCTATAAATGTTTAAAGAAAAGTGCTTCTACAGAAAGAGGTAATGAGTGGGGCAAAAAACTGCGTTTCAATCATTGGCTGTTATTTTGCTTTTTAGTCAATAAATAGTTTTCTAATTGTGAGGAAAGCATTTTGCCTATCTTTGCCATGTTAAATGTGAAATCTAACTTTTAAATAGCTATCTAGCTACAGTTACCTGCTATAATATCTGTAGGGACCTCAGCATTTCCAGAAGGCAATTTATTTCACCTATCTCATTCTGTTATACAGGGAGTACAGATATCTAACTTTCTATGCCTAAAATAAGATGAAATTAATATGAGATATGCAGAATGGCTCTCATTAGATCTTTGCTTTCTGTGAGGTCTAATATATAAGATTATTGCCTGTTCACAAGGATTTTAAATATCCTTTCAAAGGCTTTAGTGTTTTTTTGTTGTTGTTGTTTCTGCTGATCAAAGTATCTTTAGTAGCTTCTCTTTATGTACTGGCAGTTAAAAGGATAGCAAACACACTCTCTAACTTCTGTTTTATTTCCTGAGACCACAGGAAATGCAACCACCCAGACATGCATAATTTTTGGCATACACATTGAATATAAAAGAGGATTTCTTAAAATAATTGTTTGTTCCCAATGATTATGTTCTGATGAAAAGTTCATTGAAATGAAAAACAATCACTGAATTCTTTGCATATTTTATTTTTCTTTTTGATTTCCAACTCACACACATCTGGCATATTTTACATCTTTGCAATAAAACATGGTTACAATAGCTTAAGGAATTTATATATCCAAAATATTTCACCATGATCTCAAGATGAAATGAACTTGTCTTCCAGATGTTCAATATTCTCCCAATTCTAAGCTACAAACTCAAGATATTGCTTACAGACTGGTGATGAATAACTTAATCATTACGTTGATCCCCATGATTTCAGAATCTTATAAATACAAACAACAATGAAGAAGGAAATTCAGTGCTAAACTTACTAATACAAGGTGGATAACAAATAAGTAATCACATCAATAAATAATGATATGTTTCTGGTGCAAAGTGCCAATACAAAGAATCCATTATCTTTTTAAATAAATGACTGCAAGTGAGTGTAAATTCTGAGAAAATTACATTCCTGTTACATGCCTCATAGCCCTACCGACACAATATGTACATCTATGACAATACAGTCACCAAATATACAAAGAAGAAACATGAATTAAAGTGTATATACCCCTGGGTGTGTAATTTGATCAGTACAATGTGCAGAAAATTATTCTGATAGTTATCATTACAGTATGGTAAAACATGAAGTGCCTTAGTCTGAGAGTGTGGCTTCTGGTGAGATTTTCAGAAGAACCAAAAGAATAACCTCAGTTACCTTTGCAATGAAGCTAAGGCTGTTAAATAAACCAAGCTGCTCAGAGGAAAAATAAGGGGAAAACATTTTGTAAGGCTCTCTACCACAATGGTTTCTATGCCAAATGTTAATAATCCAGAAGTATAGCACTTTCTATGCATTGGGAGTCATTAAGCATTACAGAGCATTAAACTGAACTCTCCCTCTTTGTTCCCCTTCTGCTAGTCTTGGAATTTAAATTTATTTTCTACTGTATAAAGTATAAATATGGCAAATGATGGCTTTTTATCCAAATGCTTCATGAGCAGAATTCCACTTCAAAGGGGTAAAGTTTAGATTCAAAAAGTGAAAAACATGTTTTGGTGAAAATGTCAAAATTACTGTTTGCACCCAAATTCAACCCTTTACTACAAGCTGTACCCTTAGACAGATCTCCAGTTTGATTTGTGTGAATGCACCTGTTCCTCCAAGACATTAGGTTTAAAGTACATGCAAGTTGTAACTCCACAATAAAATTAAGAAACAGTTTTGTTCTTTATACAAGGTTTTACTTTTACAAAAGTATCCCTTTAAAGTTAAGATGTGCATCTGATGTACAAAGTATCAAACGTATTTTTTTTCTCAGCTTGAAAAGAGGCTGGAGATGGGATGCATGTTAGGTTCATAGCCTAAACATTGAAACAACTGGACACAAGGTTCCTCAGAATTTTCAAAAGTCTCTTGTGGCGCATCCTACTACCTTTTCTCAATAAACAAAGATATATGAAATAATTACCAAAACATCTCCTAATTCATATAATTTACATGATACAAGCTTGCTTTTCAGCAGCTGGTGTTCAGTTGTGAAAAAACACACAAAGTAAAATGGTTGCTGACTACAATGTACAGCTATTGCTGGGTGTAATGGAATGTACAACGGAGGTCAATGCAGACGTGTTTTTCCGCCAGAGACTACACCTTTCGTTGCAGCACTTGTGCTCTCAGCTTTACCTGGGCTTTCAGTTCTTCTTTCCGCTTCAGTATCTGTTCTGATGTTCATAATGCCACCGGTTAAAATCTATATTAAAAGCTACGATGCTGCCAGAAGCCATGCCAGTAATCAGAGTTCTGAAGAAGGCAGAAGACAGAAAAGGTGGTCCTTAGAAACATCTTACTTAACTGTTAATTCTCTTTCACCTTCTCAAACTGTGGGTCACATTAAACAGTAAAAAAGCTACAATGAGACACTTTCTGAAATGCAGTATGAAAATTAAGCTTATGGGTGGGATCTGTCTGTCTGGTGGGACACAAAATTTAGGAGTCTACATATAAGCTAAATGCCCACAATGGAGATCTAGAGCTCCATGCATTTGCTCTTACATAGGTGAAAGCATAGTGCCATTTGAGACACCCTTGGGGGCCCTGCCTTCCCTTTATCTGCCTTTCTAAAGCAGCTCGGTCTTAACTAGGTCCACTGTCCTATGTGCCACCCATGCATATACCTCAGCTACTCCAAGGTATCTCAAACAGTAATAACTGCCTAAGGGTGGGCAACCAAGTCAAGTTCCTGAGTGCAGCGTAGAGAACAACTTCTTAAAGGTCACCAGGAAAATAATTTAGGATGAGCTACGTTGTTTGTTAGACTCCACAGGCAAGAGTGAGTAAATCCATTGATTATTATAGCAGCTTATTCCCTTAGCGTGCACGCATGCATGCATGCATAGGTCTTTCCTATGTGGAAACACCTTCATTCACATGTTTCAGAATTCAGTTCAGCTGCCCAGTTATAAATATAAATGCCTAGTGCCATTCGAGACGCCCTAGGATATGTGAAACATGTACCCTAGTTGGCAGCTGTGACACCAGACCTGTGGAGAGCTCTGCCCTCTGGATCGGCAGCTGGGCTTAGGTGGGTTATCCAGGGGCCTCTCAAATGTAATCAGATGCATCTGTGAAGATAACTCAGTGGATCCCTTAATCATAAGCTAATTACACCTTGGTGATCTTAAATGGCTTCATATTGAAATATACCCCTACACTTATGTAGTTCTGGTGGAAATAGTTGAGATGATTTTTCCAGCTATCATACGCCCTCTAATTCTGGTAGCTGAATTTTAAAATTGGATTAGGTATCTATCACCACTTATATCAAACCATACCAAATCCATTCTCTGCTTAATTATGCAACTAAAGCTAAGCAGGTACTTAAAGTACTTTGCTCAGCTGGGGCCTCGCAGCCTAGTATTACCACCAGGGATATAGAAATTAGGCTAGCAGAATCTTTTTATAGTGTAAATAAATCTCTTCAAACACAGCACAGTACTGTATACATAAAATGGCACAGATCCAGAGGCAAATAGGCCTCTTCCAGTAAGTTAGTTTTGATTAGACTAAGTTTGAGACTGAAATCGTGTTTCATGTCATTTACTCATACATGAATACATTTGGTGGGTATGTGGCTTATAGGTGTTTTTGCTGCTTTACCAAATGGGTACATAGCATGGCAGTTTTGAAAAGTGTAAGAAAAATAAACTGACATGAATGCTCTATGATTTTTCTAATATCCTATGTATTTTTTGCGTGTTATGAGTTTATGCATTAATAAGAAATACAAGAGTGATGAATGATGTAAAGAGTAAATCCACTCATTACCCTGCACAAATGCAATATGAAGGTTTACATTATAATCATTTTAAAACAGAAGAATGACGTATCTGGTTTGTATATCTTTTACATTTACACTGCATTTACTTCTAGTGCTACAGTATTAGAGCAATCACTGCAAACATCTAGGCATGTGCCTTTGCTCTGAGAAGGTCAAAGGAAAGGATTACATTTACTCCTGGCGGATAGATCACCGATAGCATTACACATTATGGTCTATGTGCTACCTCAAGAAGTTCTCAAGCTCTACAGGGCTGAAAAACACAAATGTACCACAAAACTTTTGTACTTTGTCCTTAAGTGTTTTTTAATAGTCACTGCTGTGGTCTGATCCAGTCTGGCTGTTCTTATGTTCTTAAGTTAATGTAATTTTACTATTATTTTCCCAGCTGAGGATCTGGCTTACTGACTTCAATGATGTAACACCTCATCTTAATGTTAAACATTTGCATTAAAAGAGTTAAGGATCAGAAAAAATGCTGAGTCAGATAAATCAACAAGGTAACAACTGGGATCACAGTTTTGTATCACACCCTTTATATGAGTAGATACCATGAAATCACCCCTTAAAGTTAATGCAGATCTATACTTCATGCACTTTTAACAGTTATATAAGAATATTAATGACAGACTTACCTCTGATCATGAGACAGATCCATAGCTCTAATGCCAGCATCACAACCAGGGTAAATATAGAGCTGCTTGAAGTCACAAGCCTGCCATACTTCCACTACCCCGTTGTCTCCCCCTGTCACCAGGTTCTGCCCATCACTGCTCAGGAGGATGGCCTTCAGAAGAGTAAGAAAGACAAAACCATGCACGTACTTAGCATTCAGGGAAACTAATCAATATTACTACAGTTTAATCAACTGAACAAAGACTCCCACTCCTGCTTCTCCCAAAGGAAAAAAAATATTTAGGATCTACAAATTTTAAATAAAAGTCTGTTGTGGCTTTAAAAATTATATGGAAGTATATCTCCTTTGTGAACCAAAAGGCTCTTTCACTCTATCTGCCAAGACCTGAATTCAGAAAACATTTCTGTGTTTGTCCTACAACACTCAATGCCATCCCTAACACCTAAAGCAGAACAGGGATCTGAATTCCTTATGCTGTTTTAAGTGCTAGTGACAGAGCAGAGCCCTGAAGGCATGAATTCTTCTCTTGGCTAATAAATGAAGAATGGACTTACTTCAGAGTGTTTTGTTTTAAAGATGTATTTCCCTCTGACATGTAATTCCAAATAAACTTTCCAGGAATTGTGTAGGATCATAATTTGTTTTTATTTATTCTGAAAAAACTCACGTGCACTTTTGCATTTGGAGATGGAGATGAGAGGATTGTATTTGAATATGACTTAACCAGGAGATGGCAATTTTACATGTGTAATTTTCTTTAAACCACCATGCAAATAAATTCAATTTATTTTAATACATAAAAGCAAGACACAAGAAATGGTTGTTTGCATTTAGATTTACCCTGGTTGAATCATTGATCTCCATCTGAGAGATGATGCAGTGACCTTCACTAGACACTGAAATTAAGCGAGGATACAAGCAGTTTTCTGTTCCTTCCAGGGCTCTCAGCAAATCTCCAGTAATTGTGTGTACCAGACAAGGGCCTTCTGTATATGAAAAGATAACATACAATACATTTGCTGCTTATACAAACTATATACACTATGCAAAGAGACAATGTATACTAGACATTTATATCATACTATCCTGCATAGATATAAAAAGATGAAAACCTTGCATAAAGAATTTCAAATAGACAACAGAAAAGAAAACGTAAGAGCTAGCACATGAAGAAAATAGATACAACATGTCTCTAAGTGATAGTTTAGTATTTACTTGACTACTGGTAATTATCATTAATCTATCTTATAAAATATTCTTTCCTCTTTCCGAGTATTCAAAGGCCTCAGTCTTACTGCTTTCCTTAAAACACATGAACTCTCTTTAGCCTGCCCATTCACATTAAACAGATGGGGCCCTATCAGTGCATAGTAGGAGCAACTCCCAGAGGGCACATAATCGTATCACTGCATATTTCTCCTATAGTCAATGGCAGTTCCTGTAGGACCTCTCCCCCAGTGAATGTAATATATGCATAGATTTCAGTCCTGACTTGTTTTAACAATGGATGTCATCAGACAGCCAACAGAGTAACTGTGATATCTGGACTGTAAGAGCTTTCAGGAGAACGTATTACAAATGCATTTACTCCAAATAAATTCTAATATGATACTTTAATGTCTTTTTATTACTGATGATGACAGAAAAACCCAACTACGAAATCTGCCATGTATATTTTTAGATGTAACACCAAGCTATCTCCATTTTAAGATCTATCTCTCTTGAAAGTGAGATCGGTATTCCTAAGAAAAGGAGTCTCCTCTGTGATAAGTGTAATGAGTCATGCTAAATACTAAATTTTTTTTTAATGAACCATAGGATACTCCTGGACAGCACAGTAATCACTTCCTTATACAACAGGCTTACGACCTTGAAAGTAAATTCATACTAGCAGACCCAGCCACCTCATGTTGAGCCTTTCTAGCTGCTCTGAAATTCACACAGCAGCCCAGGTAGAATGAATCACAGCCTATGTATTTGTGTGTGAACCCTCTGGTACGTGTTTTCATCTGTGTAAGAGAGACCCTAAGCCTGACTGGGTCAATGGGATACAACTGCAGTGGAAATAATTTGTTTCCTCAAATAGTTGAGTCTCAGCTTTGGAAATATTGAAGTGCCAGAATGTTACGTGAAGTGGATGCCCCTAACCTTAGAGCAATTAACATGTTAGACTTTTCAAAAGAAAAATATGATACCTTCATATTTAAGCACAATGACAAACTGCCCCTCCCTTGGCTCAGCCGACTGTTCACGAACAGCAAAAGAAAGGCACAAACGAAATCTTTTGATTTAGGATCTAGTGTGAAGACATACAGACGAACCACTCTTGTTTTATTGGATCAGAGCGTGCACACATCAACCTGCTACACAGGATTTTCTTCGAGGAGCCCTATCTGCGCTGTCTCCCTGTCTCAGCGCACGTTCTCCAGAGGGCTGCGTGTGTGAACGCAGTGACACAAAGAGCTCCAGAGAGGCAGACTCCCCGTGAGCGAGCACACACAGCGTTCAGGAAGGAAAGCAGAACAACACAGCACTGTAGTGAAATGCAATCAAACACACGGGAAAGGACGGAAACTAAATAAGAAGCTTTAAAAGAGGCATACACTAGAAAACACAAACAAAAAAGGGATTTTTCTTTCTGTATTTATATTTGGAATAGAGTTTGTAAAGGAAAAACATGGGTATAGTAACTCAGGAGACAAGCTGACAAAATGGGACTCTATTTCTCTGGATGAATTAATATATAGTCTGGATTTGATGTAAAGGTCTTTAGTTCTCCAGCAACCTTTGCCTCTAAAAATATATAAATTACCAAGTATTACATAATTAATGAAGCTGAAGATAGCTGAGTACAAATTCCAGTTATTTTAATAAGAGGTAGTTTGCAAAAATATACTGTGAAAGGGTACAGCATTATGGCAGTAAGTGTAAATAAAACTGCCTTACAAGATATGAAATAACACCACTGCCAAACAAAACTGTAGCTGCAACATCACTGTGCATTTTTTTCGTAAATGTCTTGACTTGGCCTACCACTCTTCCATAGCATGTTGTTACTAGAGTTAATGATTCATCAGCATTTCCTGTTAACAATGTCTTTACTCAGAAGTTTCATACTCAGGTTTTCACTTGGATATTCTAGATTCTACAAATAAATAAAAGGGAAAATGTGCAAACAGAAGACTAAAAAAATTTTAACAGAATAGACTGCAAAAAAATCCACAAAGTCCTGATTATTTGCAATACTGCTCACTGAAAAAAATGATCTGGACAAAATGCTGTCCACAGACCCCCAAACAAGTGAACTCACTCTTGCTCCCCTTGCCAAGGTGACTGAGTTCAGTCCCACAAACTGCCATTTAATTAAGTTAGATCAGAGTGAAGAATTTGTAGCTGTCCTCCTGCCTAAATACAGCTTTCTACTAGCAGATTTCTTCATAATCAGTAGATGTCATTATTATTATATAAGCTTCTATCAAACTCCTCTTCCAAATCTGTGGGGAATAGTAGTGCAGGCTAATGGTTGGAAGAAACTATCAACTTAATTTGTGTCTAAGCCTCCTATGTACAGGTAGTTAGCATTAACATTCAGAGTAAGTAGCTGTCAATTCCAGGGGAATTACAACATATCGCTGTAGAGGAGACTTTGGATAACTAAAGTATATGTGGCTTGAGGGAAGACTGAGAAGTATCATCAAGAAAGTCTCTAAAAAAGTTAGGACTTAAAATATAAAAAGATTTCTGACCTTTAGCACCACTGATAACGAGTCCCAGCTCTGCACAGACTGATACGCAGACAACTTCATGGTCATGACCAGTTAGTACAGCCCTAGGAGCTGGATAGTCACCTGTTTAAAAAAAAAAAAAAAAGAGATTCAAAAAATAAGTATAGGAAACAACCAAGGAGTTCTGGACAAAACTTGCTTTAACAAGAAAAGTACTTTGCTATAAGTTGCCTTAAATCTGTAAGTATCAAAGAAAGGTACAATCTGCTTAAATCTCATTCTTGGGTTTCTGAGCATGCAGGTATCATATCATGCACAGTCTCTCAATCCATTAATTTACACGTTAACAAAAACTAAGCTTCTTGTATTAGAAGTAATGGGTTACATGCTGCTTGCAATGCATGGATGATAACAATACACAAGGATAGCAGGAGGCACTAGAGATCTGTTGTATAATCTAAAAATAAGATAAAGTTAAATGTCAGTTATAGAACACAAAGTATGATGATATTTGAAGTAGCTGTAATGTAAAGATCTGCTATTGAACATATACCTCTTTAGACTTCTGCTAAGAACCTAAATAATGAGTTGATGATGTTCATGCATTAATGACCATAATTTGTCTTCCTTCTCCCCCCAATAACCGGGGGTAGGAAAAGAAGAGAAGAGAACAGTACTCTACTAGAAGGACACTACTGTCGCACAGACATTATTGATTCACAGTCACACTGAATACTTGTAAATTAAAGTTATAACTAAAGATGGTTATGGATATATAACAGCTTATATATATCACTGTGGATCTATATGGCATTTTTATGACATTTTGTTTTACTAAGGAGTAGGATAGACTACTCCTTAGATGTTTATTTTCTCTATGCAAGAGAAAAACTTATTTTGTCATGGATTGTGGATTCACATGGACATTTATGGAACATTAGGTGACAAATAGCAACATTTCTCTAGTTTCTAACAATAACCGATGCTGACATCTTAACAAAGAAATTCCTGTATGTAGTAGAGAATTATTCAGTATTTGATATCACATTGCCAGGCAAAGAAAAGTTAAACAGTAACAAGAAATTAATAACTTCCTAGACAACAGAGATTTCATCTGCTTATATTTACTTTGTACAAATGAAATACAGAAAACCGGGGAAATTCTAAAGGACTGGAGCTCTGCCAGTACAGTTCAAATATTTAAAAAGGATAAAAGAAATGACCTAGGGAACTAGAGATGAATTACTGTGACATTAATCCCAGGCAAAATAACAGGATGATTAATCCAGAACTCTGTCAACAAAGAATCAGAGGGAAAAAATCTCATTAATGCCAGTTACCATGCTGTCTTGGAATGGAAGTCTTGTCAAGCAAGCCTGTTACCTGTTTTTGACAGGACGACAGGTATAGTTGATAAAGAGGGCTGTGTTAAAATGGCCTCCATGTATTTTTTCAATATATTTGACTTAGTAGTACAACTTTTTGATTTAAAAACTGTGTTATATGGAACCCATTGAGGACCACATGGATGGTTCAGAAATGAATTCAATGACTGACCGTATAATTTTGTTGCAATAGGAGGGTATGATTCTTGACCAAATACTAACCAGTAATGCTATCTACAGGATAATACAAAATCTTTGCTGGTAAGGTATGGTAATATTCAGCTGATACAAAGATTCATGGAGAACCGTATAATGAAGAGAGAAAATAACTACTATAAAGTTCTCCGCATTAATAATAAGAATGGTTAATAATAAGAATGCAACACAAAGGTTTTTTTTTTTTTTTAATGCAGTCAGAAGGAAGGTTGAGATTTCTGGACAGATAAACACAAGCTCTGCTTATTGGAGAGGAGATTCTGTATTGGAAAGTAGTAGGGCAGAAAAGGGTTTATAAGATCTATAGTCTCTATAGAGTTTAGAGTGAATAACTGCCTCAACATAAGTTTTCAGTGCAATGCTCTAAAACAGCACCTAGGAGCAAGGAATTCTCCTGGCACTGTAAACCAGCAAGATTAAAGTCTTGTATCCACATTTACAGAAATGAGCTCAACGGAGGGTCACCCAACTGATATAGAGAGTAGGGCAGGAGTCCGCACAACGTTTAAAGTGCTTTCTCTCTTCACCGCACAGGAAGCCGAGCGGTAACTTGACTACCATATCTGGTGAGTTACAGGTATAAAAGAAGTCCAGCGGCCCAGAAATTTATCGTGTAGCTAATGGCAGAACAAGGTCCAATGGGTGAATGGCTACACACATTTCAACCTTGCAATAAAATGTAGTTTCCTAACTGGAAAGCAGTTAAACACTAAAACAAATTAAACAGGTAGGTAAAGTAAAATCGCACACATTTCTGAAAGATATGCTTTAGGAACATAGGCTTGGATGGAATTTTGTGGGTCAGTGAATTTAGTCTTTTATTGTAGAGATTTATACCACAGAAACTCTGTAACAAACAAATCAGAAGTACAGACCTCAGTTCTGGATCCAGTAGTACAGGGTAGGCCAAAAGCGCTCTTATCATTGCTTTGTACAGCAACTCTTTCCTACCCCCACTGAAAATAGCTATCCCAATAAATCCTAGTATCACAGTCTTTAACATAGCCTGTAAGAAAAAATCTTTTGGGTCCGGAAGTTGAAGATGTGAACTGAAAATATGGCATTACTGTTAGGGAAGGAGGAATGTTGGAAGAAACAGAGAAAGATGCTATATGTATCTGACTCAAGATTAGGTATATTTTGAGTTTTACATTGCTGTAATTTCTCCTTCAGTGTTTTCCGTTGTGAACCCCATCTCCTTCGACGTTTTCATTTCTCCAATAGCCCAATACAGAAAAAGAAATACATATAGTGCAACAAACTTCAGAATTTCCCTCCCCTTTTTTTTTGTTTTTTTCTTCTGTGAGTCTTCCTGGAAATTATGGAGGAGGAATAATGCCCAGGAGTTTTTGTGCCTTAAACACAGACTGCAGACGTGCACATGGCAGGGTCATCAGACTACAAAGGAATCAGCATTAGTGAAAGATTGAAATTATTAGATGGTTAGAAATTTTAAAAGAGAAAAAAAAAGAATACAATTTTCAAAAGAATATTTTCCTCACTCTTTTCTAGGAACATGGCATAATATTATGGAACTGCAAAATGTAAGGATATGAAAAATGAGCATATTTGATGGACTTCTCATAAGGTAAATGCTTGTAAGAAATAACTGTCCTGAAATGTAGATCTTTGAGTCCTGTTTTTCAGTAAGTATAAATTAATAATAGAATGTTATTATTAGAAGCAACAGATAGTAATTAAAAATATGACTTTTTCCCCTTAGGGCTCAAAGAAAAGTGTATTCAATGATATTTTCTACAGGAAAAGCTGTTGCATGGGGAAGAGAACCTCAATCATATTACATTTTATGGCTAAGGACAGAAGTTGTGAACGCTAGGAATCATTCAAAATCTAGCAAAATATTCTGTCACTGTCACATCACCACTGATAGATGCAGCTGGAGGTCAAAGGCTGTAGCTCTGAGGGAACTGCAGGTGCAAATATCCTACCTATGAACTGAGATACCATCACTGTAAACTCCCTATAATTTCCCCAAAGGAGCACCTCTGAAGTGAAGTACCAGAGGGCAAGAAAGAAAATAAAAAAAAAAATTCCCTTGTATTTCCAAACAAATAAGTTATAAGTTCTTCTACAAAGTCTAAAACAAAATATATCTTCCCTTCTCTCTCCAATATATAATGCTTAATAGCATTGTAAGGTTCTCCTGTAGCAGATGGCACTCTCTCATGGTAAGGAAAAAAAAAGAAATGAAAAAGGATGAACAGTATTACTACTTCTCTCATGTTGTCCTTTTTCAGGAGTTATGCACAGATTGCTCTGTGGATACATCTGGGAGTCTTCTGTTTAAAGAAAGATGAGACCACAAGGCAAATTCCAGTTTCCATTTCATCGCTCACTTTGATGGAAGCAAGTACAAGGATACAGCTGAACTATTTGTTGACAATAAAGTATCACATTTATGATACACAGTCTTTACTATTAACACTTTTTGAAGGGATATCTCTCAGAAAACAAAATCTTAGAAAATACTACAGCTTTCATGGAAATGAAAATATAACAGTTTGTTTAATTTTTACTGTCAGATAAAGACAGGCAGGGGATTTGATGAAAAGATCAGGCTACATCCAAAAAGTATGATTTCCAAATAGGAAATAGCCAACCACAATGTCCACAATGTAAGGGAGCAACTATTTTTTTTTTTAAAGATTGCTGACAGCAAAATATTCAAGGTAAATACCACTTTTGGCAGAACTGGTTTATTTGCTGAGGAATGTGAGCAGCACTGTATATAAACTGCAATTCACTAAGGTCAGGGGACTTTCAAGTATCTTACAACTACGCAGGCCCCCAAAGGAAGAACACAAAGGAGGAGAGGACAATAAGGATTCCTGGCGTCTGTTCCTATTTCTGCCACTAAATTGCTTTGAGAACTTTGGCAAGTCACTGAACTGCTTTGTGCTGGATTGTCCCATTTGGCTATGCAGCAAAACATGTGCACAGAGATCTGTTGGTAAAATGCTAGATATACCTTTATGAGTTCAGATGTATTATTGGCTCATTTACCTTTGCGCAGCAGTCTTGGGAGAGAGGTGTCTTTGCCTGCTAGAGCTGGGATGATGGCAGCAGAAGTCACACACTAATTTTCAAAGCACTTTAGGAATGTCATTTTTGGGGGGGGGGGGGGGGGGGGGCGGTTCACAGGAAGTTCTTTAAGTTAGTATCTGTTAAGCCACACTGTGTTAGAATAGTGCCAAGATGCCATATTTTACAAATTAATACTTAAGTCGTACAAGCATAAAAGTAGTGTTATAACTCTTTAGACACACAAAGTAGATTGCATATGTGTAAAAAATGCTTGTGCAGGCCTTTAGACAGCCATCCACCTGGTACAGAACACACTGATGGCTATTTTTAAATTGCTGCCTTTTCAAGGTTAAACTAGTGCATGTCAGAGGGTATCGAATTGTAGAGGAATATAAAAGAATACAGTGAATATCCTAAGCTCAAAATAACTACTCTTTTAAGATATAAGCTCACAAAAACTGGGATGTTCACCTAGGAGGAATTTTAAATTGTTTCAAAAATATTATCTCTGAAAGGAAAGAATGAAAGTGCACTTTTGTGGAACTCTCTGCAGACTTGAACAAAAGCGCAGGTTAATTTGACAAAGCTCCTTTAGGGGAGCATTCATGCTGCCTTTCCAGTAAATACAGAATGCACTTATTAGGAGAAGAGAAATAGTTAGCACCTCTGAGGACTATTAAAACGTTAAACAAACTGAGCTTTGGGCTGATAGATACAATATATTTACAATGGTCAGTGCAATTCCAGTTAGAAAAAGCAGGGTTAACTCTCACACCTCTTGTGACCATCTTCTTGGAAGCTACAACAGGTAATGAGAAATGTCAAGTCCCAAGATCAATGAAATTTCAGGCTCTAGGGACAAAACAGGAACAGCATTGATCCCTTTAAAGAACACTAGTCAGAGAGTGAATGTAATATATTGCACAGAGAGGCTCAAGAGGATAAGCGGCCTAGTCCAACACACTTACCTGACAAAAAATGCAATCAGCTTTTAGCACAAGCTGCCTACCCTCCTTCTTTCCTTTCATGCAGGAGTCTGATTCCAATTAAAGTGTGCAAATTAATTTTTATCACTTCCAAATTAGTTTCTGAATTTGTGTCTGTTTCAGATGAAAGCATCTGTCCCTCACTTTTCTGCAATTCTATCATTTACTGAGGTATCTGCTCAAGATTCTGAGATAATTCTCATTTTCAAAGTCACTTGTTTGAAAGAGACATTCAATAAAGCAATCATAAAATATAAAAATAAAACAACTATAACAATACACGTTGAACTTCAGGGCATATCCTCTAGTCTCTTTGCTCCTTTTTACGATGACTAATACAGTTGCTATGTGAGAAGAAATCTGTATACAAATTAGCGCTCAGCGAAAACAAATCCCTACATATCAAAGGAGGGAAAAAAAAAATCCAAATCCAAACCATTAAACTCTGTAACAATAATTTTTCTATTCAATCTCTTAGAACTGCAAGGATTCACATTTGCCAGATCACTTAAAAGAATAACAATCTCTGCTGCTAAATTGCTTATAAGCAAACTACATCATCTGTATGTGCTGCATCTTCCTAAAAGAAAACAGATTCCTTTCCCTGTTCTCTCAGCTGCAAAGGATTTTTATAATGTGCTCATCAATTTAATAAGGTACAGATTCAGATTACCTATTTCAGATGGCCAACTCTGGCTTAGAAAGTAGGTATCTGACCCTGGTGGGACGATTCAGCTCCATTCAATTCACTGTTTTCCCAAAAGTGCATACCTACCTAAGCAAGACTAAAGGAGTAAGACAGATCCAAACATACATAAAGACATGGTGGCTGTCTTCCAGGAAACAGAAAACCTACATTCAACTCCACTTCAGTCAAAAAGAATTCATGCCACATCCCTAACTTTCCAGGACCATCCCTAGGCACCAACCTCTAGGCTAGGCTAGGAAAAGATATTTTCTATTACCGTTATTACAGCTGAGCCACTACATAGCCATGAAACCAATTTTTGTTGGACTAAAGAAAGGATAAATAGGGAGAAGATATGCCCTACACACTGCTGTTGAAAGTATGCAGTTTTGCTTCCTGATTTCTTGATTTATCTCTTTTTTTTTTCCATCATCATGAGCAGAGAAAAGAATTTTGCTTGACATTTTCCATCAAAGCTGGAAGTACACAGGGCCCTCCCTCCTCTACACTCTTGTGACTGTGAGAAAAGTGGGTTTGAATTCCCTCAGTCTCTGGAGGCCAAGAACTTAGTCTCCCACTTCCTGGACATATATTCGAACCATACGGTTATTACACAAGCTATTTTTGAAAGTTATTTTATGGAAAATATGTATTTAAAATCTGGTCAAATTGTACTCTTCTCACAGCCTGTACGGTAACTGTGAGAAATGCAAACCGACCCAGAAACTCCCCTTTGCTATGGACTGGAAGAGAATAAAAGTGATAACTTCATGAATGCACTGATATGGACCAATTCTTTTACAATTATAAAGAAACTCACCATACTCTAGTAGGAAAGTTTTCAACTACTCAGCTGGAACAGCCATTTGTAAGAGCCTTATCCAAGCCACAGTTATTCTCTATTCTCCTATTTAAACTAGCGTTGATTCAGTATTTCCCACAGACATAACTGAGGTCATCCTCCGAGCACAGTGCATACACAGACTGTTTTGTAGAGGTTTCTAGACAAGTCTAACAGGTTAGGTTATTGACATATACATTTTTTTTTAGTAGAGACTTCATCTAACTCATGGATTCTGCAAAATGGAATTTTAGCAGAAATTGTAAGGACTTTATTCTGACAATCTTTTGCCACAGAGTAGTTCACAGTAAATAATTGTGATCATCATGTTTTCTAAAGAAATAGTATATACTTTATATATATAACATTTTAAACTATATAAACTGTTTAGGACTGGGGACTTGCTTTTTTCCCCTCCTACTGTTTTCTGAAACAACTAAAGTTCCTTTTGGTAATTGGATGCATTGAAGCTGAAATTGATAATTAACTGTCTTTCAGCTTAAAAGATCATTATAAAGTCAAGCATCTAACCCAGATAATTACTATACCTGACATTTTTCTTTGAATTCTTCACCTTCTTACAGTCTGTGATATAAAATACCTTATCTGTGTCTCCAGATGACAGCTTTTAAGAAACTAATTCTCTTTTCTTTTTTCCTGAAAATATCATCTACATCTTTCTAGAAATTCATTCTAAAGATGTTAACTAATTGGATTTAACCTACAGTGAACATCTTACTTTCATTTTTCCTACAAGGTAAGTCCTAATCTTCTACCAGTAAATATAGAAGAGCAATACATTAGGAAATATTTCTTTACAAAACTACTTCAGTGACTTAATAGCTATGTAAAACTTCAAAAATATCTTCATAAGGATTGTTAAGGATACTTCACTCATGAAAATTAGTATATAAGGAATCAATTATACAATAAGCTATCATGTCTGTTCATGGTAGGGACCAGAATTTAGTAGTTATTACTTCAACGGGAATATTTAGTAACTGTAGAAGTCTTAAAAGGTAGAATTTCCTTCTCACATAATATCACTAATATGATCTATTCCTATTGGTGTATGTTCCCAAAAGCCAAAAGGGCTATGAAAAAGTCTCTCAGGACATGTTTGCAATATTGCATATATTCATGAAGACAAGAAGATATCTGAACTAAAATAAGTCTGTCTCCAAAAGAAGTGAGGATGATGTTTGTATCAATCAGTAAAGAGCTATTAATGTCAAGGCTGCCCAAGCCAACACACAATCAAAGAAAATACAAGAAAAAGTCTTTTTTTTTTCCCTCAGTGAAGGGAGCAAGTTCTTATTTTTTTTGATTCTTAGCACAGAAATTACCAATACTTGATATGAATCACATAGGCATTCAATAAGCAAAATATCATCAAGCTAAACAGAGTGCCCTGCAATGAAACTTTTAAGATTGACTTTCTTATCTGAGACGTGAAAAAATAAAAGACAGAATATTCCTATGCATACATGTCAGAGAAATTTGTTATAGTAACATAGTTTTGTATTTTTCCCTTTCCATTTTCTGTCTTTCATAAAAGCAAAAGCAAGTCAGGTGTGCGAGTCAGGTTTTTATCTATCTCCTCGTTGCTCTGGTTACAGATAAATGGAAGAAAATTAAAACATAATACAATTACTGCTGCTGCCAAATTAATAAAACATATATTTTGTTACACATAAAGAAAACACTTTTCTAGGAGACATTCAGTTGAAGAAACACTTTCTCTTAGATGTCTATAACTGACATGTCTACAACTGCCTCCAGTCTGTACTTGAACCAAAGACCAAAAGCGATAGTGATGCACTGTTAGACGTTTATCCAAACAGGCAGAATCATTGTGCTGCAAATAACCATCACATTCAGAGTTTGAAAAATATGCTTTAAACAAAAACATGCATGGATTTAGTCTTGTTCAGAACAGCTGTAGTACACAGATAAAAGTTCCTTTGTCTTTTGCTGTGGTCATATTTCCGGCTTAGGTGAAAGAACCTTATAAACTCAAGGCACTAGAGCACTAAAGGCATATTGCACTTTAAGAGTCCTTCTTTATAAATTGTTATTGTGTCCCATTCACTCTACAAAGTATTGATGGTAAATCCTCTGCAAATGAAGTGTAAACTCTTCCGGATATTTTATCTTTTTCTATTTTTATTCAATCACATTGCTTCTTCAAAGGTTTACTTGCTACAAAAAGACCTTTTTCAAAAAGATAGATTTAATTCTAAGATATGTGAGACATTTCCTTTTTGAGGAAACAGCATGCAGTACCACAAAAAGAAAAAGTAACTAACTTAAAATGACAAAAAATATTTATGGGAAAGGGAAAATCAAAACACAGTGATATATGTCCTGTCACTTAAAGGCCAAAATTGTCTTGTTCTGGTTTATGATGACATGACGCTATAAAGGATAAAAACAATTGTGAATTTAAGAAATATTCTCATATTGCTATCTGTTACCGTACATGAGCTGTTTAAATGTTTTATTTGGCTAGTACTCAATGAATTATTTAGCATGTGATCTGCTTTTTATGAGAGACTTGCAATCTACAAGTCAAGTAGCTGACACATTTGGTAATATTTTTTGAGGAATTCTAAAAATGAATAGGCAGGATAGTGGACCTCTCAGTAAGGTGTTTTTAACGGGATATACTTACTGCTGTTTGGATTGTCACCTATAATATGATGTCGGCCACTCCAGTACCAAAGCAGCAATGTAGCATCACGAGACCCAGACACAATGTAGCAGTCACCACCAATATAGGACTCTGATCTGGCAAGGCAAGTAACGACATCCCAGTGGCCGAATACGATCTGAGTTAATTTTCCTGGAGGAAGTGCACAGTGAAACAAATTCAATTTTTCTGAATATCTGCAGCATTTTTGTACAACTAAAATTAGCATTAATAAATGCCCCTTAGAGTTCACTGTATGCTACGACGAAGTTAAAAATCACAAAGATAACACTCAAACATTTCTCTTCCCATGTTTCTTTCAAGGTCTGTGCTCTGTGTCAATCCATAGCCAAAGTCTCACATCTGAAAATCAAGTCAGTGCTTCAGTCACTGAATATTAAGTGGAGTTATTGCCCTATTAGTATTTTTAAAATGGTGTTAAAATATTATTTGAGAATTTCATGAATGATAAGCATGAGATAGAAAACATATGCACTCTTCCATAATGATGCCACATTAGTATATTAAAAATGTACATTTTTTCAGTTAATGTCAAACTAAGGTTTAATGTGAACATCATCTCCTTCTAATATTGCAACCAGTTTTTAGCAATATACTGAATGGCATCAGGCTAGGCTGTAAGACGGAGAAATAAAATATCAGCTATTGGTAGCAGGCCATGCAACTTCCTTTCTTATTACATCAAATAAAGAGAGATAAAATCAATACAGCCATCAAAATTTTGTAATAAAAGTTTTGCTTCATCCTTTTGATGTGATCAGCTCATTGGATATAAGTATGTACAGTTTGAAAAGTTGCCAACAACAAAATTGTATACCTTCCTGTTTCCTATTACAGCCTTTATCTTCAAAAAAGCATCCTAAAGCTATTATAAGCAGATAATAACAAAGGATTTTCTAAATCACCCTTTATTATTTCTTGAAGGGTAAGCATAGGCATTAGATATAGTAGTATTAAGACAACCATCCATTTGTGACCTAAAAGCACATAAGGAACAGGTGGTTTTATGTAGGGTCACCTGTTTCTGTAGAATAAACTCGAAAGCTCTTGTCCCAGAAACCACAGATGAGAATGTAGCGATTATCTGCTGTGACCACGAAACAATGTGCATTGATCTGGATGCTCTGATCCACAAGGTCTGTGATCTGCCGTTTGTTCACACCAGAGTTATTGGCTGTAAGGAAATGCAAAACACATTTTACAAGTAAGTCATTCCAACACCTTCCTGTCATGCACTTACAGGAGAAAATGAATACATTTAACTTTCAATGAACTGTGAATTTGTTGTTGACTAAGCATTCTGAATATGAACCTTTAGAGCTGTCTATATGGGTGTCAGAAATACGAAATTATTATGAGTTTCCTTGTTTCCCTTTGAATAAGACAAAAGATTTTACAGGAGATGACACTTTCTTAGTGCCTGATGCACTGCATAATGTGTGGAAATATTTCAAGTGCTCTGATGAAGTACTCTCCAAAAACAAAAACGTGATGCGAAGTGAAGTGATGAAGTGATGGTGACGGAAGCCCATTTTTAATACCAAGTCAACAATAACAAAACTTCACGGAGTGAACTCTTGGTGGTTGCTACCTCTCCTAAGGATTATATCCAGCGTGTGTTGAGTGAGCTGTACATCCCCCTTTCTATCCCCCTGCACGCAGACACTTAATTGGATTGAAGACATAAGGATTCAACCAATGAAGCTATTTAAATTCAATGTGCATTCTTAACACTGCCTACTCATCAAGCAGGGAGCCAGGCCACTGCCAGTAATGCCAAAAGAGGCAACGTCATCTGGGAATCTCCCAGATGGAATGAAAAGGAATGGTCCTTGCAGAATCCATCCAGCCTGACTGTTGCGAAAAAGAGCTGTTAGGAAGGACTAGGCATAATCAGCTAATGTGTTCCTCACTCCCCATAATGCAACAGACAGGATTCTGCAATACAGCAAAGTTGTGTTCCCTCTCACCTAATATCAGCTTCTGAAAGTTCAGCATATAATCTAAGTTCATTATCTAGGGTCCCTCTTTATTGACTGGAGGGAGACATCACCGCCCATGGTAAGCCATCTCATCCTGTAATAGCTGTCCAAGTGGACAATTCCAGAGGACAGTTTCTCTTTCTCCATTAGCCATGGAAGGAATCTAGACAACGGACTTCAGATAACTGATGTTAGGTGAGATAAAACTCACTCTGAAAGACATGTTTCTCCTACCGATAAGAAAAGGACCTATGCAGATAATACTCTGAAATTCCTTTTGTCTCTTTTTTTGGTTATTCTACTTAAGTTGCTCATAATTGCATGAAATAACAGACTCAGCAAAAAACAAACCTATTTTAAATTTGCTTCCAGAAGTCAATACCAAGTTTATGCATGTTTCAAGAGCTTAAGTCTAAATTTCCAGGTCCTCTGTGTATATCCGCTGAAAGGCAGTGAACAATAAATTACCCAGATTTCCAGAAGAGGTGGTACTATGGTTGTGCCCTTGCTTTTGAGAGGGAAATCTGAAGCTAAAACTATTTTCATTATATGAGCAAATGCAGTATATGGATCAATAACGGTAACTCTCTTGAGATACCTGTATACAAGTCTTTCAGTCGAGAATACTGACATAGAGAAAAGGAAACTTTTCATATGGAGGGGTTTAAACATGCCTCTTTTTCTCATAGATGCTTCAGAAATGGCTCTAAGAATTTCCCTGTACATAATTTCCATCTCAAAAATATACCTTCTAAAAAAATCCAAACCAGAAAGTTACAGTTAAAGAGAAATAATGAACATAAGAAATACATGTCCCTATAATCTCTTTTAATAGAACTCTAACACTTTTAGCAGATACCTATTTCTCAAAATATTTTACTTTCTCAAGTATTTTTAAGATTTTAAAAAATAGAATCATGCATCAATTTAAAATCTAATCTTTCCTTTATTAATTTAATAATACCTACTAAAACAATCCTAATCACAAATTGGATGAAAAGAAATCAGTCTAAATCTGCAGTGATATACACAGTACTAATGGAAAGAAATGAAAGTATGTAAACTCTGCCGAAGCCTCACCTTTTATTGTATTAATGTGACTTGAAAAGAGAATAGAATTATAGATATGGGCTCACAATGTGACTGACTTAATTGGTTGGTTCTTATATACCAATTGCTAGTGATGTTAGTGACAAATAGTATTCATGAAATTCATTCAGCATCAATAGCTAATGCTTTTAATTCTCCAGGACTGACAAGAATAAATATTTTCCTATCTTCTGTGTTAAATGAAGCATAATATACAAATATAGCTTAATCAATAATTCTTGAAAACGCTGTTTTCAAATGTATCGCTACATTTTCATCTTGACATACCAATCAATGGATCCATTTCGATTGGAAGATGATGGGCTTGATCCAAAGAATATCCTGGGGCTCCCCGAAGGCCTACACATGAAAGGAAGAATAAAGTACATGGAAACCTTACTGTCTGCAATGTTTATGACTTTTCAGGTTTAAAACTGCATTGTGGGGTTATTACATCCAAAAAAATAGGTAACTTCTTACTATTGCTTGTTCTATATATATCTCTTTTAAGATTTCTTCCTCTGTGCTACAGAAATATATGTTAATTATTCACTTACATTACTATAAATGTACAAATATGAGTGTTAATTCACTGTGTTTTCTGCTGCCACTGACATTCATTAAATAACTTTTTAAAATAATGCAACAGAGCACTTTGCTACATTTGAACACTGGATGAGATTTTTCAGTAGCACAGAAAAGAAAAAAAAAAACCTCGACTAAATACAGTTATGCGTTTCTTATGTACGGAAAACTGTTAAGTGCCAGAAACTCAAACCTTGTCTTGGATTTATCTAGAGAGTTTCAAGCTTGGCAATTGTAGACTACAGTAAATTTTCCACACCTATTCCTATTTAGTTCTATGTTGAACAGTCCTTAAGCTGTTCTAATTTGCACTAAGGGCTGCATATATGGTTTTATCCACTTTAAAGGGCAGAGACCAGTGCTTTGGCTCTTCTGAGGACCTCCCCCACTGTGTAAGTCACAGTGATCCCTACTGAAAGCACAGTTTTTGTCAAGAAATGCCATGTTGCACAAAAATATGTCCCATGTGAGGAGAAACAGAGTTCAGGAGAACAAGTGGACACATGTACAAACTCATGATTGAGACTGTTCAGTTATCAGCCCCTGTGTGACATAGTGCATGTTTTTCCTAACTGTACTGCTTTCAATAGATCAGACATAATGATGTAGGTTTGGAGATAAAGCGCTAGATTTTATATGGCATCTACCTTTATCCCCACATAGAAGGAATTAAAGTGAGAGGGTGTTTGAGTGATCTCCTGACTATGTTGAAACTCAAATGCCCGAGAGCACAGCTTGTACTAATTTCAAACGTATCTGCCTTATGTTACACATCGGGAACTCTCTGCTAACAACCTTTATATTCAGTAATAATTGCCATTTTTCCAGTATGGCAATAGACGTCTGGAGAAGCTAAAAGAAAACAGAACCTATAGATAGCCCTGCCAGGTTCTGAAGAAGACTGCTCTAAGAACTTTCCCTTCCCTAGTTTCTCCTTCTTCTTTCAAAACTAAGCCAGTTTGGGACAGATCTTAACTGATACTAGACTCATTTGATTCTACTGTGAGATGAGTAGGTAAATGCCCATTTCTGTGTATAAACTCTTACAGAAAGACAAAGCTGTGCATACAATCTACAACAGTAGAAGAACTCTGTGTACAGGTTCCTGTACACTGTGTGTACAGGTTTGTGCCAATGAATCTATCATTTATGCTACAGTTGTGATTTATTAAAATAATATTACTGTAATATTAGGAAACTCATACTCTGTCCTGGATAAGCCTCTTGCAAAATAAAAGACACTGCCAGCTGAGATGTAAAAGGTAAGATCAACACCAGAACTTTGGTTTTCTGAACAGTTTTGCTTTCCTGTCTCTTTCCCATATTATATATTCAGAAAGTACTCATCTCTTTTAAATAAATACCAGAGCTTTTCAAATGGTGCAAAATTTAGTCCATGGTGGGTTCACAACCTGAATCCTGCATGTTTGCAGTGTGGCTTATGCAAGTGTTTTATGCAAGTTTATATGAAAAACTAAAACCCACAGTCATGTGAATCATAAAGACCTACATGATTTCTACTAGACTACTACTAACTACTGTAGTTGCTCCTGATGGAGTATCATAAATCAGCGGATTTATGGAAGGGAATCAGATATCCTGTTCTAGTCACTGAACAGCCGTGCAACAACTGTAAAGTCAGTTTGTAAACAGAGAATTCGGAATAAATGTTACATTTTATGTTAACATTATGCTAAACATTCTGAATAAAAGTCACATTAAAATTTGTATTCCTACTGCAGAATTCATAGTGGTAAGCATTAGCCTCATCTACTCTGAGAGTTCCTCTAATGGATGATTATAAAGGAATTCCCATTCATACCGCTAATTATTGCTTGTATTGCTTGTAACATCAGTCTGCGGCCAGTCTTGTGCGAGAGAGGTGGGATCTATTTCACCTAACTTTAATCATTTACTGAGGCGACATCTACATTTAAAGTAATTAAATTCCTAGTTAATCTAGAACCCCTTTATGTCTACCTCCAGTAGACATCTAAGGTAAATCTCACAAATGCTTCTCCAGAAGTGCCTACTTCTCTTCCCTAGGGGGTCCTCTTGTGTTGTAAAGAGCAGAGGATTTTTCTTTTTTGCCTGGTCCCTACAAAGTTCCTGAGTTAGCTACTGAGTCACACTCTCACAAACAAGAGGTAGCTTGTTTCTCACAGCTGTAAGAAACCTTTGATAACTTTCCATATGCTGCAGCATAAGGGCCACCACAGCAGCAAGTTACCTTAGAAAGCTTGACTGAACGAGAATGAATGTTCGTGAATGGAGCAGTAGCTCATGGCTCCACCACTGCTATTAAACAGTGCCTGGGACAACCTCAGCACCTACATGCCCAGGGCAGGAGAGAGGATAGACCTAGAGGCAATAGGGAGCTGCTTGCAGAGGGGCTGGGAGGGAGGTTTAGGATGACCCCCAAGGAATAGGCTTTTGGAAGGGAATAACTGAACTTCTCTCGAGAACATTTCAGTGTCTGGCTGCTTAGGCTTGCTTAGGGTCCCAGATTATCTTACAGTGACCCAGGAGAAGGCTTATGACAAGCTCCCGAACAGACCTGAAATCTCTCTCAAATAGCAGACAGTGATGCACACCCTCTAGCATGCTACTATGTGCTCCTGAAACCTGGGACATACTAATATAGGCTGTGTCAAGAACAGCAGCAGTCTCCTGAAAAACATTATATCAAAGGCTGATTCTGATGTAACCACAAATCGATTGGCTGCCATGGTGATGTGCTGCTGTTAGTGAGAGCGTTCCTAGGAATGACACCAGAGAAAACAGAAGCCCTGGTTATTTGACACAAGCCAAAATAAGCAGTAAATTTCCTATGTATTTGTGTACAGTCTGGTGAGTACGATTAACCCGTATCTAGCTAAACTCCACTTGAAATTAGAAGATGCACCGTTAAGATCCTTAAATTTGATTTAAATGCGCTTGTGAGAACCTACCTACTGTGTTGTGCCATCGATTCACTGCAAAAAGTCTGCTGCAAGTCACGGTTACCACGGCAGGAATGGTAAGGTGGGGGAGCGTGTTGGCTGCCACATGTGTGACAGGGGAATTTGATGGAAATTTCAGCACCATTATGACATCCTGCTGCATCTGATCTTTAAACATGAGTGGACTCTGTGGAAGGAAACACTGTTGAGTAGAAAGGAGAAGAGAGCAGAAGAAAACAGAAGGGATAACACAATTAGTGAGGAGGTCTGAGGGAAAAACAAGGTTAAAAAAGAGCAGGCAAGCATGTGCACGTACAGGGAAAACAATGCTACCTGCACATCTAAACGAATGATGTGGGAGAGCAAAATTAGAAGCTATTATTGGATCATTACATGAGGATAAGCAGAGAACAGGTATGATAAGGGTCTACTGGGTTATCATTACAGGGTGCCAAAGTGACCATGCATCATTAATTAGCATTAATTAATATATAATAAAATGTAAAATTATAGAGCAGATAGATAACATTCATACAGTACAGACACAAGTCAAATAAAAAAGTTAGACAATCTATATCATAAATATAAATATTATAAAGTATAATTACTGAAAAAGAAATTTTGAGAGACTCCAGAATTTAATTTTCTTTAATGAACTTCTCATATGAAATGAAAAGTTCCAAACATAAACTGACAGTTTAACTCTATTTAAAGCATACACTTATTAGGGAGACTACAAGTAATTATAAATCAGCGTGCTGATTCTATAGGTGACAAATTTTCATGTAGACAACACTGTTACCATAAATGGCATTATATAAAGCACTCTTTTAATGTTAGGTTTTTCAAACTTTGTTATAACAAATAGAATTATTTCTAGAAGTTCCAATAATCCTTTCATTTTCTTTACCACTTTAAATTGTTACTTTAAATATGTTTTCTATATCTTAAGAATAAATATTATGTACGTTTGACATCTAACATTATTTAAAAAAACATAGCTAAACTAAGACTTCCAGATCAGTTCGCATTTCCACAGTGTGCAGCTATGTAGAATGATTTCCTTCTGGGCAGATAAAATAATTACAATTACTGCATGTATTATTGTTGATTTACAAAACTTAAGAGAAAACTTCTGGTTCTGAGCATTGAATCAAAGGCACTGAGGGGTACAGAGATCTGCCTCTTTCAGTCTGGCTCTCTAAGAGAATTCTTTGCAAGGAGCACACAAAAGAATGTGTTGGGAATGAATTTTAAGGTTCAAAATGAAATTAGAAATATACGTTATATTCTCCCAGGGGAATGGGTGGGAGGATTCCAGCATTTGAACTACAGTACTTCATTTCTGTCAAGTAGCCAATGTTCATAGATCAATCCCTAATGATGTATCCTTTAAAACAAAACAAAACAACATGTTCACTCTAAGAAAAGCCTGCAGCCATTCTTATTTCTGCAAGAAATTTCTTGCAGAAATAAGAATGTAAATATATACTTATTAAGCGTACAGTTATGAAGCTAGTGCCATTTCTCACACTAATAGACAGGAAAAGTCATGATCATAGGAAGCTGAAGCTATTCAAGCTTCCATCCTGCTCTGCTAGAGCACCGTGAGCTATTATTTCCACAAAGAGAAGAAAGTACGGCTATACGGGCAACGGAGGGCATTAAAAGTGGTGCTTAAACGGGTATTTTATGACCTAAAGAGGCTCCTCGGGTTCAAAGGAAATGAATTCCCAGCCAGCAGTTATGTCTCACCAGGTGCATGGCAGAGCTCCGCGGTGGATGGGGCTCAATGAGCAACTGAGATGGCGTCTGTCCAAAGTTGTGTATCTGTGCCTCCATGGCCTGCGGGGAAGGGAGAGCGACTGTCATAAGCAATATGCATCAAGGAGAGAGGTCAACACACTGTGTGACAATGCAAGCATATCCCAAGTCAGCCATGAAAAAAGTCCAGAAAATTCACCCGGTGCTCTCCTCCCAGGCTGCAGACTCATCCAAGTGTTAGTATTTTGTAGACAAGCTTTGCTTCTCCTTTCAAGCATGCTTCAGTTAACCAACTAACCATTCTTATTTCCAGTAACTGGGGTTACACGTGAAAATGTTAACCTGTGAGGACATGCAGTTCACATCTTGAGAGAGTTTTTTGCACTAAAAAGTACACATATACCTTAACAAAGTCGTTTGTAAGGAGGAAAGTATGAGGATCTCTAATAAAATAAGCCTCTGGAATCTTAAATCAGGGGAAAGAAAAGCCAAGTGAGAAATACAATTCATGGATAATGTATAAGAAAAACAAAATAATCACTATTTCAACAACACCATTCACAGGTTAAAACAATAAATGGCAGAAAAGAATCCTGCTAGGGCACATTCAGACTGTAAAAATCTTTCCAAGTAGCATTCATTCACTGAGTATTTATTTTGTGCTTAATATTGTTGCATTTTTCCATGGGCTTTTGGTCATCATAATTCTGAAGTGAAAATATAGTAATTTCAATTTGTTCTTCAAGATTTAAATCTACTTTTAGAATAAAACTAGAGTAATTTGTTAGGAAGCCCATAAACTGAGATGTTTCAACTACTCAAACAGTTCATCCAAACAAAACTATATATAAAATATATATTTTTTAAACTTTGGCAAAAGATTGCTGTTTATAATCACAATACTGTTTAAGAACACTGCTTATCTTTCATATGGATAGTTACTACTTTAGTCCATCTTGTAAAATACACAATAAAGCATTCACATAAAAATAAAGTGGCAGATTTTGAAATGCACCATGCATTAGGTACTGTATATACACTGTACCCTGCACTACGGACCCTTAATACTTTTCTTGTAAGTTCTATGAATTTTTCATCTGCTACCATACAACCAACATAAAAAAAAAACCCAAAACTATCTTGGAAAAGTCTGCTATTTCTTTCAGATATAAAATAGTAAGAAATACAATTAGCACTTTAGGATACAGAGGAACTCAGAGGAACTCTTTCAATCCACGTATTTTGTAATTTCTACATGGCAATACGTGTTCTTCCTCCATTTCATAGCATAGATGCAAGAACAGATGTTACAAAGACGTTTCCTAACAGGTCACTAATGTGTGCCAATTCTGATGCCCTAGATTGACAGATATATAACGGAATACCATAAACATCTGACAAAAAAAGAAAATGCAAAGTCCAGTAAAAGCACTGAAGGACTTTCCATGGTTGTAGCCCTAGCACATGATGTAATGTTTTGGTAATGATGATGCAATTGTTTTGGTTTTGGTGATTTCTGTCTTGCTGACTGTCAGAGTGGACTTTATTCTCCAAGGCACAGAGTGTTAAGTCTTGAGAACTGGCGAGCATCTCAGTTTTCATTAACATCATCTCCCTTACACCTTAAATGGTCAAACATGTTTCTTTTGTATTTAAAATCAAAAAGTAATTTTACACAAAGCCCACATTTTATCTTCGTGGGTGTACGTGTGTACATGTGTACACATCCCTACAGCATATATCTATATTTACACAGCACGTAAGCATGTAAATAGCATCTCTTTACATGCTATATAGATACCTTCACTTTTGCAGACACTATTCATGTAAGAAAATAAAATTAACTTCAAATCAAATCAAACATAGCATTTTCTATTATGTCCATCACTCTATAACTGATTTTCCTGGTGGACAGGAGGGAAGGTACTTATCCTTGTCAGTGAATTTGATTTTTAAAATAATAAAGACTAAAACCAACAATATCAGGCACTGTATGATGTACACTTCCACACAGCTCTGCCGGTAATATTTTGAGGAAAGTAATTTCCATTTCTCTTTTTCCAAATAAATATCAAGGTTATTCCTTTAATTTCTAAATAATTCTATGTTGAAATAAGAGTGTGAATTGCATTTGGCAGCAATCCTGAAAAAAAAAAACAAACGGATTTTCCTCTACAGTGATCCTTTGCAGCGATCCCATAAATGATACTTCTGTTTTCTTGCAGGCACATTGGAATGAATTATTAAACTTTTTTAAGTGGAGCCCAATTCTAATCTACACATATACTTTCATGTTGTCCAGTCTTGGCAAATCCTGATTGTTTGGATATAAATTCTGTACGCATAAACTTCACTGGCTTTGCCTCCCAATTCAGGTCGATTTACGACAGTAACAAGGGTTGAGAGAGAGAAGCAGAATAGTAGTAGAAACCACAAATTTTTCAGATGGTGAGGAATGGACACTTAAAGCCTAGCTGTCAAAAGGAACCGTTACTTTACAGCTGAAAATGTCCTGGTAAATACTCACCTACATACTTTATGTGCTTACATTTTAAAACATTTTAGTTAATGCCAAGTCCTTCCATAATGCAGAATCAGGAACTTGATACTCAGGGACTATTTAATATTTGTGCTGGCTTGCACTTATAAAGTCAACTCCCCTGTCCTCAGGCTCTCTGTGATTAGTAATGTTACCTTTTTCTTCCAAAAATATCATTTGTAAAAATGACAGCTCTTGGAACTCTTAAGCAAACTAGACAACACGAAAAATATTCATAAAAATACCTGCAATAGCATTCAGCTGCTGCACTGAGAGCATAGTTTGCACGACAACACAGCTGTGCACAACTACAGTTATTATTCTTCTCTAGATCTCAAAATACTTGGAAAGGATATAAAAACCCCGTCAAAACTTACATGGAGATAAACGTAAGCATATAGGGATATAGTGACTGGCCCAAGGCTGTTCCCAATGTTGTGCCCTATGTGATCACTTGACACAAAATGAAAAGCAGGTACAGAACAGACCTGTGAATAATAATGTAATACATTGATTTGTTTTTAAGGGGACTGTTGCTGCATGCAAAATTAATCTGAAAACTGGTAAATGCACACCACATTTTTTCCTGAACTGCGTATCATCAAACTTTAGATTTATGGACTGGTCTTAAAAATTTCCTTCTAATTTATCAATTCCTTTTCTCCCATCAGATCTTGAGTACTCTGTGCAAAGTGCTACAGCACTCCATGAAACACACATTATAGTCAATTTAATATCTTTAATAAAATTTAGTCTTATTTCACCTTCAAATGCCCTTTATGTAGAAACAGTATAAGGTTGGAAAGCAGTAGCTGCCAGATTTAATGCTTTTGAAACAGCAAAATGGCAATTATATTAGTTTTCACTTTCTTAATAAGGTGCTGCAAAAAAGCTATTTAGTGGGCTGAGCTGAGATTCCCTACTGTTTTTACTACGCATAAAATGAGATTTGTACTCCAGACACTTCAGGGAGTATTTGTTAGGATACGATCATGTGTTGCAAAAAGATAAAATGGGTCTTAGTCTATCACTTGATAATAGTAGGTCAGAATAAGGAAAGAAAAAGATCTGCTAAATTGATGGCAATTCAAAGTTCAAAATGCATTCATCTCAAATATCCTCATTTATGCGATCCAGAAAAATACAACTCCATAGCACTTAATATTGGCCATTTGAAAATCACACACAGAGGTTCATATATGAATCACTATGTATAAATACATAAAATCATGCAATCTTATGAATGATACTGATCTTAGTTACAGTAAATGATACCCTAAATGCAATATATTGTGCTCAAAGGCAGTAAATCCTTAGTTACAGTTAACAGTTAATCCAACCGTTATGCTTAAAGGCAGACTGCACATTCACAAGGATGCTGGGATGCTCCTCTGCAACCTGTAGGATCAGTCCTCAGCGTCAGCTTCCTGAAGGACAGGGAGACACACGTGCCTGCTTCGCTCATAAGGCAGTCTACCAAATTATTTATCTTCTGCTTTTGAATAGATTGAAAGAAACACAAATCAAGTCAGCCATTAAGTAATGTAAGCAACCTGTTTCCTTAGGTGTGAGAAGAAAGCTGCTTCTTAATGCTCAAAAGCCATGTTTCCACTAGTAAGCAGTGCAACCCAGCAGGAGCAGACCTCTAGCGCAGAAGAACTAGCCCTGAGAAACCCACACTGAAACTACGCAAATTTCAGGCTTTCCTCCTAGGCTGGCTCTGGGCTGCACGCCCACCACCCACTGAGCTACATTAGCTGGACCCCTGCAACACATTACTTTATCTACTCAGTTTAGAACCCAGTTCGCACACTCTGAAACTGCTCTGCAGCGTGAAACAAAGCACGGCAAATAGGGATGACTGGCACGTTCACTTCAGAAGCACAGCCCTAATCCAAATGAGAATACTAAAACCGACTCATCTGAAACATGACAAAAGTGAAGGTTTCTTTTGCTCTTGGGTACACCTTTGCTAAAGGTATAAGCCATGAAGCAGTTTACTTCTAACATAGTCTTTCTTCTGCTAGTTCTTTAGAGATGCAGATAAAATCACAGAGGAATAAATTAATAGTCTATCGTGTTTGGAAACCCCTCCTTTGCTTAGAGAGACACAAGGTGACTACATAACACAAGAAACATAAAATCATGAATACTTGTGCTTTGTGTCATGGAGGGAAGAAAGGAATTTCTGAAAATGGACTGCATTAGAGATAAGACTTTTTACTTTTATCAAAATGTTTTTACTTTGATGCATGGCTTTGCATGATTCATCTTCACTGACTACTACCATAATAAGTTAAATTTTCTAAAATATATATTACCTAAGTTCCTTTATATTGTTATATTGTTATCATGATATCCTGTCTTTTAGCTGTTAATTCCTACAGCACTGGTGTGTAAACAGCAGTTTTGCCCTTTAAGTTCTACTTGCTCCTGCAGTGTACGACTTTCAGGTTTTTCTACAATCCCTTTCCCCTGAGCCTGGGGATGGAGCCCAGTGAAGAAGCAAAGCCTATGTGCATTTCAGAAATATGCAACAACA